TCACAAAATTGTATGTTATTTTATTCGTCTTGTCAAGAGTCTTGAATTTATTGACTTTGACTTGAATTTATATGAATTATCTTTAGACACAAAATTAGTTTAATATTTTATGCAACACAGTAAGAAAAAAGTGTCAGAGAAAATAAAAATGTTGTACTAAAATTGTATTTCTTATTTTTATTCGTCTTGTCAGGATACAATTCGTTTAACATTGACAACACAATAGGAAAAAAAGTGTTGCAGAGAGAAAACAAATAAAAATGTAGGTTGTACAAAAATAGCCTAGCTATTTTTATTCGTCTTGTCAAAATACTAAATTCGTTTGACATGCACAAAATTGTGTTATTTTATTCGCCTTGTCAAGAGTCTTGAATTTATTGACTTTGACTTGAATTAATATGAATTATCTTAAGACACAAAATTTGTTTAATATTTTATTTTAAAATACAGACCCCGCAAATAAAACGCGTGACGGTAAAGCATGCGTGCAGCGCGTGCATAACAGTCCTGAGCGCAAGCTGTACCCTTCCGGTGGTCAATAAGAATAAAACGTAGATATGCTGTTCTAAATGGACGTGGGGAACGGGATATTGTTAGACCGCCCGCTCCCTTTACACCAGAGTTACCGACCGCTACCGCGTTTTATTCGGGAATTTAATCCCGCAGCGCAAAAAATCCGGCCGGTAGAGCCACGGGAATGCAGACCTTTACACTGATGCGCTTCAATCGGCAGCGCTAAACCTGTAAGCGCATATACTTACTTGCCGGCAACCCGCCAAAATAAAAGCCTGCTGATTTTAATTTTGAAAATGATGAAAATTCATCTTTAAAAAAAGAAGTAAATATTAGCATTTTATTTTTTAATTTACTATAAAATAGTTGTATTTGTATTTAATACTCCCTTTTTATTTTAAAATATAATAGTATTATCACACTTTATTATTTAGTTTATTATTTTATTAAAAAAAAACTAAATTAAAAAAAAGTGCAACAATATTATCACTACGATTAATTTATTTTTTATAGTTGTATTCAGGGCCGCATTAACCATTGGGCTAGGCGGGGCTGAAGCAAGAGGGCCCGAGCAAGGAGGGGGCCCGTGATTAGCTGTGGAGTAGATTTACTGGTCATTGGTAGCGCTGATCGCCAAAGCCCCACCACGCCCCCCACTTTTTAGCGCTATTATTTAGTGGAGCTTTTCCGTAAATTCCATGCAGTACCATTAGAGACTGAAACGTCACGTTTGAATTTGTTTTACCAATCAAATGCATTTATTTTATATTTTACTTTTGAACGGCCTGTGAATCCTATCAGGTGATCGCTGCGCCTAATGTCCGCACTCACCTCTCTTCACTTCGTTCTGCCGTAATCTGGAAATGGTCATGCAAAGAACAATCTTCGATAAGTAAAAATGTCAACTATTCTAAAAAAAAAAAAAAAAAAAGTGAGAGAGGGGCTATTCTAAAAAAAAAAATTAGGAGAGAGGGAAAAACACGAGTTAGTCAGTAAAATTCCCAGCTATCATGTTATTTTACTAAAGCTGATGATGGAGTGGAAGTTGTGGAACAGCAAGTGGACCGGACACATGGAGCAGATAAAAACATAGTGTCATCATCTCCACAGATTTTAGGTTAGTTTGATTATTAACTTGATGGATGTATATTGCTTGTTATGTTTGAACAAACTCTATCGGCCTAGTATATTCGCTTTTGGGTTGAGAACTAATCCGCTAGAAATATGTCAATCGTTTTGCGCGTCATGATGTTAGTTTATCATTTAAACACATTTTAAACATTGTGGTTTAAAAACAAATTTAACTGTTCAGGGACATTAAGAAGCGGGGCAGAATTCATTTTGGCAAATGCACGCGTTAAGATGGTTTCAGCCTAAAACGCGCAGCGCGCACCTGCTCGTAAAGCACCTGCCTAAACTTGAGTTCTTTTTCGCGCCTTGAGCTTAAACGTTCAAATACACGTAGTTGTGCATCAAAACGCCCGTCTTTGCGAGTATCATCGTAAACAGTCATTTGTGTCTTACATGAACATTATAGTTAAAGACAAAGTAGTGTAGTAGGCAATATGAGCTCCTGGCATTGTATGATGAGATTTTAAAGGGATAGTTCACCCAAAAACGAAAATACTGTCATCATTTACTCAGCCTCAAGTTGTTCTAAACCTGTATGAATTTCTTTGTTTACCTCAACATAAAAAGATATTTTGAAGAATGTTCATAACCAGAAGTTTTCTGGTCCCCATTGACTCCAATAGTGTATTTTTTTTTCATACTATGAAAGTCATGCAGCAACTGTTTGGTTACCAGTATTGTTCCCAATATATTCTTTTGCATTCAACAGCAGAAGGATACTCATACAGGTTCAGAAAAACAACAGAATTTTCATTTTTGGGTGAACTATTCCTCGAAAGCAACCTAATATAGCTACTGTTGCCATTTGTGTCAATAACGTAAATCAAACATCAGAAAGAAAATCATTCCCTGTCCTTGACTGAATCACTTTTGTAAAATAAGTAAGAATTAATGTATTGAATTTATACAGTGAAGACTATTCAGTCTATTTGTACATTTACTTTATACAATATAATGTTTTTTATTCAGTGCTTTTAAGTTTTTCAAGTAGGTTGATTTCTTATGTATCTTTGTTCTCTTGTAATTTGTGGCTGTTTACTTGTCTTCGGTAAGTTTGGTTTTACTTAGGCTAGTATTATTTTTTTTGATACTGAAATTAGTAACAAGAATTATGAAATTTCAGTGCATCAAAAATGTTGATAGAATAAAAATCCTATTTAAAGCTATTGTGATGGGGGGCCCTGCAGTAAGTCATAGCCCCGGGGCCCAGTGAGGTCTTAATGCGGCCCTGGTTGTATTTAATGGGTTACACTATGTGCAGTTTGAGGACCAAACCAAATCTCCAGGTTCTCCTATGAGAACCAGGCTGAAAAACTTATGTGCACCCCTGTTTATTAGATATTCAAAAAAATGTATTAAAATATTTTTTGGATGTCAGAGGTATTATGTTTCATTATAGCGTGTGCCTTCTTATTATTAGACCTGACAGCGAAAAAAGAATGAGAGCTGAAAACTTTGGAGTGAATGAAATATCATGAGCCGATGTGCATCTGTCTGTGTGTGTTGTGATGTGGTTATCAGCACCATCAAAATAAAAGTCCCATTTTCAGTTCTCACCAGTCAAACAGACAAAAAACATACAGGCCGATGACAGTATTTTAAAAATGTCAAATATCAGCCCTGGTCATGTATTGGTTGGGCGCTAATCTTTCTACTTTGCTTTCCTAGGGCTTTGTGTCTTTCCTGTTACCCTGCTTTGCTGTCGACCATCTTTACCTGTCCTCGGATGAATACCTGTTTTCTGAAGAGGAGACTCCAATTGCTGAGGGTAAGAGGGCAGTGTCTTGAGACACTGCTTGTTTTGTTTTTTTGTGATTCTTCATTTATTAAACATTTTAGATTTATAACTATTTACAACAGAGCCCAAGATCCGTCCATATTCAAAGATTAAATAAATAAATAAAGGAAAGTAATTGTAACAATGAAGATTGTATGCCAGAAAAATAAAACTATAACCAAAACAATATTAGAGGGATAACAAGTACATCTCAAGATTTCAAGAGGTCTGATAAAATTTCAATAAGGTCCAACCAAAATTGTATTGTCCTTCTGGTGGCGCCATGTATTTTGGCTGTGGTACACTCCCAAAGAGCGATGTCCAGTACGTAAACATTACTGGGGTAGATGGATCCAACCACTGTTTCAGGTAGGGCTGGGCGATATGGCGAAATAATAACATGTCGTTTCTTTTACAGAACGTTTGACCCATTCTCGATTTTTACGATATTTATTAACTAGTCAACTTGAAAATGTAACTACATGATTCAAGTAACCTTTTCTTTGTTAACCCTCTTCTTAAAGAAAATTCTATTTCAAGTGCAGCACACATGAAGTTGTCAACATGATGTAAATGTTAAACAAATCACTTGTTAAATATCTTGGCAGAAAAGATGCATGAACTACAACTACATATTGTACAAACTTGTCTTATACATGTTATATGTTCAGAAATAATGCAAGGAAAATGCTTTTTAAAAAATCTCAAAAGTCAGTGTAATTCAAATTCAAAATGACTGAAGGTATAACGCCAGTAGACTATTATTAACTATAAATGTTATGTAAAGACAACAGCAGCTTTCAGTCTGTCACCCTGATGCAAACATGAAATATCAGACATGCAGTAGTAGTTACAGGTTTTTTATTAGATTGCACTGCTTTTCCATAGTTTTTTCTATGTAAACATGGACGCGTTTGACTGTTGCGCTCACGTTTCTTGCAAGAAACGGCAGTCTAAAAATGAGGCACTCAAGTTAAAAGAAGTTAACTCCCATCTTACTGCATTTTTTCCTATTCCACTGCCCACGTCACATCTTTGTCAACACAAAAGCACTTTCTGTGTGAATGGCCCCTTGTGATATATTCTACTTCTGGTCCTTCACAGAGCGCGTCACTCGTGAGTGGTTAATCATGTGCGCTGAAATGAGATTGGATCATTCTTTTCTCTTTGCTGTTATCATTGGCATATTGTCAGTGTCTAATTCTAGCGTTTGGTAATATTTCTATTCAAAATCGTGATTCTTCTATTTATAAAAAATAAAATCGTGGCAAAATATAAAATTCTATTTATTCTATAAAATCGGAACAATTGCCCAGCCCTAGTCTCAGGATAACTTTTTTGGCAGCAGTAAAAGCAGCGGACAGAATCCTTTTTTGATCAACCAACAGTAGCTGTACTGTTTGTTGACAACAGTAGCTCCTTCCAAAGATTCGAATTAAACTTATGCGCAAAACTGGAATATCGCATAAAACATTTGCGAATAAATCACGGAATAAAGTTTCTATCCAGCGAGTCAAAGAGTACAAAATCGTCACTTCCTGGTAAACTGGCACCAAATATCACTAGGAAAACTAGGAGAAGCCACTGAATATAATAATTTTCATATATGATAAACACAATAAATGCGGTCATTGCTTTCGGAGGCGGATGCTGCTGTTTGGGAACACAGACGTGTAAGACAGTAATTATACAGAAATACTTTGACGACAGACTTTGCTCAGGCATTTCAGAATGACCAGAACAACATATAGATGCTGTCAACGAGATCGGTCCGCTGCTAGTCAAGTTATCCTGTCTCATAGCACAAAGTCACATGACTTTTTCAATGCGCATGAAGGAAATTATTCGGTAAATATGCTTCCATCGTAGTTTATGCACATTTTGTCTTATCGGATAAAAAGTTTATCCTACTCAAATTTGTGCATACGTTTTTTTTTTATGCGCATTTTTTGAATTTATGCGCATCTTGGCATTTCCATCTAGCATTTTTTATGCGATATTCCAAAATACACATAAAATTAGGTGGATGGAAACAGCTAGTGACAGCGAAGAGTCATCCAGCAAGTGAAAAACCAGGGCTCCAGACTCATTCTTCCCACTGGTAGCTCTTTTGCGACTAACTTTCTCAGTTGGTCGCACGAGCACATGATTTGGTCGCAATTTTTTATTTATTTTTTTGCTACAACATTTGATTAATCAATGCATGCTGATGAACTTTTATCATAGTTTATAGTTATATGGTAACGAAAGTGTTCAACATTCAACCCATTCTTTTTCATCAGTATTATTTGTGATTTAAATTTTGTGAACAGGAATTCCTCTTTTCGTGCGCTTTCACTTTCACTTTCAAATTCGCGATCTTGGTGTCACGTCTTACAAGAAAAGATAATTGTCTGTTTTGCTTATATCTATACACCTTTCACTTTTTAAGACTAAAACAAAATATGGATTCATTGTTATTCTTAACTAAAAAGCACAACAACAATAAAACAGTAAGATACAATGACAAACTAGCTTACAAAACGTTTATTAATAAAAACGAATAAGATGAGGCATGGCATACACCACATGCTGTATTATATACAGACTGATAAATTACAGAACGTTTAGCAAACACTGAGGAATCAAAAAAAATTATAAAAGAGAGCCTCCATAGCGTAACGTGAGGTAAACGGCAAATATAACAAGCTTTTCAAAATGAAAACAAAAAGAAAAGTAAAACTAAACTTGCTGACGGTGACAGTGCTTGCATGCTTTTTTGTGTGTTTTTTTTCCCCACTGGTTTAAGAAGCGGTCTTTTACTTTACTTTAGCTTGAAAACCATTAATCGTTTCCTCAATATTCACGTCATTTTTGCTGCAATACTTTGACGACAGACTTTGCTCAGGCATTTCAGAATGACCAGAACAACATATAGATGCTGTCAACGAGATCGGTCCGCTGCTAGTCAAGTTATCCTGTCTCATAGCACAAAGTCACATGACTTTTTCAATGCGCATGAAGGAAATTATTCGGTAAATATGCTTCCATCGTAGTTTATGCACATTTTGTCTTATCGGATAAAAAGTTTATCCTACTCAAATTTGTGCATACGTTTTTTTTTTATGCGCATTTTTTGAATTTATGCGCATCTTGGCATTTCCATCTAGCATTTTTTATGCGATATTCCAAAATACACATAAAATTAGGTGGATGGAAACAGCTAGTGACAGCGAAGAGTCATCCAGCAAGTGAAAAACCAGGGCTCCAGACTCATTCTTCCCACTGGTAGCTCTTTTGCGACTAACTTTCTCAGTTGGTCGCACGAGCACATGATTTGGTCACAGTTTTTTTTTCTTTGCGCTACAACATGGGATTAATCAATGCATGCTGATGAACTTTTATCATAGTTTATAGTTATATGGAAACGAAAGTGGTTAACATTCAACCCGTTCTTTTTCATCAGTAGTATTTGTGATTTGATTTTGTGAACGGGAGTCCCTCTTTTGCTGTGTTATAAGCCTGGCTTCGGGTGCTTTCACTTTCGAATTCGCGATCTTGTCACGTTTTACGAGAAAAGATAATTGTCTGTTTTGCTTACATCTACACACCTTTCACTTTTTAAGACTAAAACAAAATATGGATTCATTGTTATTCTTAACTAAAAAGCACAACAACAATAAAACAGTAAGATACAATGACAAACTAGCTTACAAAACGTTTATTAATAAAAACGAATAAGATGAGGCATGGCATACACCACATGCTGTATTATATACAGACTGATAAATTACAGAACGTTTAGCAAACACTGAGGAATCAAAAAAAATTATAAAAGAGAGCCTCCATAGCGTAACGTGAGGTAAACGGCAAATATAACAAGCTTTTCAAAATGAAAACAAAAAGAAAAGTAAAACTAAACTTGCTGACGGTGACAGTGCTTGCATGCTTTTTTGTGTGTTTTTTTTCCCCACTGGTTTAAGAAGCGGTCTTTTACTTTACTTTAGCTTGAAAACCATTAATCGTTTCCTCAATATTCACGTCATTTTTGCTGCGCGAGTATAAACCAGGCTCTGCACTCGAAGCGCTGCGCAGTTCAAACGAGTAGCACGGTTTCGTTATACTTTCAGATTCGTTTGCCGTTTGATGTTTCTTATATGCAACAGAAATGGCAGCTCTTATGAGTTAAACAACACGGTGGTCGCAAAGTGCGATCATTTGGTCACAGTCTGGAGCCCTGAAAACAGTCAGTCCTTTTGGATCTGAGTCCTCAGAAGATCAGACAATAAGTCCCTTACAGAGGACCAGAACAACACAATTTGGGAACAGTTCCAGAATATATGCATATATGTACCTTGACTTGAGCTGTTACACAGGTGACAAAAAGGGTCAGACTTTTTCTTCATTTTATATAATAAACAGGGAGTGGCATATGCCTTATAGATTAACTTATAATGAATCATCTGGTGAGCTGGGGAGAGACTTCTTTTGATCCCCTTTTCAGTTTATTAATGCCATGATCTGCCCACTTAGTAAGACAAGTAGCCACAGTTGACATGAAGTAATCGAGCAAGCAGTCGTTAATGGTGGTCTTTTATTAGATTCGAATTTGAGCCGTGATGTCCTGCAGCTCGTTCAGTGTCTCCGCATGGTGAGCGAGTCTCTTCCAGAGGACATGGCCTATGAGATGGACAAAGCCCTTGAAGACCTGCTGTCTCCAGAGAAAGTGTCGGAAAAAGTACTGGAGGGTCTTCTGGCCAGTGACAAGTCAGTATCCCTCACATCACTGATTTAATGCAGTCACACGGATCAGCTTGATGTCTAAAGTGAAATATTTTCTTCAGTGAGAATGTGATTCAGGACATTTTAAACAAACTGCAAGACATCAGTAACCCCACTGTTGCAATAAACACGCTGCTGAGAGAACTGGACCTGGAGGCTGATGCAGAGACTGACACCAGACCCACTGGTACACCTTTTATATGCACCTTTTGAAGGGTTCTGTGGTGAATGATCTTGTTGTCTGAGGAGTAATTTGCCCAAAAAATCATTGTCATTTTTCTGAATTCATTCTTATCTAGGTTCAAAATTGACCGAATTTAATTGAAGTGCTACATATTGTATATTGATAGTGAAGATCACCCTTTGAGGCACTCTCTTGATATACACTATACTGCCAAAAGTATTGGGACACTCCCTTCTAATGAACAGGTTTGACTACTTTAGCAATTTCCATGAGTACAAATCTTAATGTTTAAGCATATAATGATATTCTAGGGAATTGTGTGCTTCTAATTTTATAGCAGCAGTTTGGACAGGACCCTTTTCTATTCTAACATGACAGTGCCTCTGTGTATAAGGCAAGGATCAAAAAGAAATGATTGATTGAGTCGGTGTGGAAGAACTTGACTGGTCTTTACACCTCTGCTGTGACTTTAAATGCTGACCTTGAGCCAAAAACTCATCACCAAACACCAATGACTTGTACATACACTATATGGACAAAAGTATTGGGACACCCCCTTCTTTAGAACAGAAAAAGGCACTTCCAAAACTGGCAACAAAGATGGAAACATAATTAATGTATTTAAAAATTGTATTTCCATCCCTGTTGCAACAGGTTTGGAAGTGTCTAAAATGACTGCACCCATATGTACAAGTCATTGGTGTTTGGCCATGAGTTTTTGGCTCAAGATCTGCATTTAAAGTCACAGCAGAGGTGTTCAGACGAGTCAAGTTCTTCCACACCGACTCAATCAATCATTTCTTTTTGAACCTTGCCTTATACACAGAGGCATTGTCATGTTAGAATAGAAAAGGGTCCTGTCCAAACTGTTGCTGTAAAATTAGAAGCACACAATTCCCTAGAATATCATTATATGCTTTAAAGGGTTAGTTCACCCAAAAATGAAAAATAGCCTGTGTTTTACTCACCCTCAAGCCATCCTAGGTGTATGTGACTTTCTTCTTTCAGACGAATCCAATCGGAGTTAGTTCACCCAAAAATGAAAAATAGCCTGTGTTTTACTCACCCTCAAGCCATCCTAGGTGTATATGACTTTCTTCTTTCAGACGAATCCAGTCGGAGTTATATTAAAAACTGTCCTGGCTCTTCTAAGCTCTATTATTGCAGTCAGCGAGTGTTTCTGTTGAACAGTCCAAAACACGTTAAATAAAGCGTGCGCATCCAATAATAAAACGTGCCTCACACGGCTCCGGGGGGTGAATGAAGGCCTCCTGTAGCGAATCCATGCGTTTTTGTCAGAAAAATATCCATATTTCAAACGGAAATATGTAAAACACAGGCTAATTTTCATTTTTGGGTGAACTAACCCTTTAACATTAAGATTTGTACTCATGGAAGTTACTAAAGTAGTCGAGCCTGTTCATTAGAAGGGGGTGTCCCAATACTTTTGGCAATGTAGTGTACTTGTTATAAAAGAGCAGTGAAGTAATTCGATAACATTTTGTTCTGGATGTGTGGCCTACATAAGAAATAAGGCATGCCGCACAAAAAAGTATTTTTATATCAATTCTATTAATAAAATAAGTATATATTTAAACTATATGTGTAATATATTAATTGCCAATACATGTGTCTTATCACATTTACAATATCAAAGGAATAATTGGCTGTTGTGACTTTTTAGTGTTTGTGATTTTGATAGTTTGATAGCCCCTGCTTATAGTCTGTTTTGTTGTATGTAAACGGCTGAAAGATTTTTCTTTTGTGTATTTGTTTATTCTTTTGTCCTTCACAGACAAAAGACAGTTGTGCAAGTTGAGAACTGGAGCCCGGCCGATATATCGTTTTGCTGAATTTATCGGCCGATATGAGCCTGTCGCAGATATATCGTATCGGCGAATATACCGCCGATATGAAATTTAGTTTTTTACAGAACATATACACATAAAAAATATTGGCCGATATATCGGTGTCTGACTTTTTTTACTCCCTAATATCGGTATCGTCATCGGCCCCAAAAAACCCATATCGGTCTGGCTCTATTGAGAACGAGTATTAAAGCATGACCCCCTTTTTGTTAATATGCATGTTTGGACTCTTCCCCTGATCATCACTGTTGCAGGTCAGTCTCTGAGAGTGCGCATTAGCCTCTCCCAGCTCTACGGCAGCAGTGTGGCCGCTAGTCTGATCTGTCAAGCTGTGTGTCAGACCGCTATGACACGAACTCTGCTCTGCAGAGACCTGCTCATCCTGCAGCAGCTGTACCTGCGAAACGGAGATAATGTGAGTAGACACACGCACATATACTTAGCACGTGTCTCAGTTAGGGCTGTTTGTGATATTGAGACTTGAACTACAAAAACGTCCTTTAAGGTAGAAAATGCTAAGGCAAAAACTGCATTTGATTTCAAAACGTGTGATAAGCACCGATTAGCACATTTTATTTAAAATACATTGTTGATAATTATGACTAGAACAGAATTTACTTCACACTTTAATGATGCACAAGCAATGTTTTGAAGAATCTTTACATTTACAATATCAAGGGAAATATTCTGCATTGCTTTAGAGAGCCGTAGTGGATGTTACCGATGCCGATAGATAGGTTGGATCACACTGGCCAGTAATGATTAATAAACCGGTAGTTTTTAAAATGGATACTGAACGAAACCAAAATAGTGCTTTACTATTTAAAAAAACAGTACTGAACCGTACTTTTTAATTGAATAAAGATATTTATATTCATTATTATTTTGATCATTAAAGTTAGTTCATAGTTTAACTAATGTTAACAGAAGAAACTTAATTTAAAAATGTATTAGTAATAGTAAATGTTGATTAACACACTCTAACAAGGAATAATACTTATACAGCTTTCATTCATCTTAATGTTACAAATGGAGTCTCATTGTAAAGTGTTACCATTTCATTTCAACAGTCATCGCCATCTTTAAATATCTACACAACGGCCATAGCACTGAAATTATACGTATGGATATTGTATGTATACTCCCACGCTTTAACAGCTTCTATTTTAAAATACTTGATTATTATCTAATCAAAATAACAGAATAATATATTACAGCTTGAATTGAAGCTGAATGGCGCACCATTAAACTCAAGCCCTTTGCTAGCAGGTTAATTAACTCATCCAAATGCACCCTTTACATGAGATTAATCAGATATATATATGAAACATTGACTTAAATGTACAGGATATTTTGTCAAAAACTAAGGCTAAATTCAAAAACTGTGAATTATCTCTGGAACTGCCTTGAGAATGTAAAACGGTGCTGTTTATATGTATCCAATCTCTTGTGGATTGCTGACTTAAAAACCTGCCGTTCCCCTTACTGAAAAAAGAATTTGGTAGAATTTGAATACAGATTGAATTCTGGAAATATTTAAGTGAAAAATAATTTTTAAAGCCCTGTTGACAGTCCTAGCTCCTGTACTCATGGATTAATGGTTTGTTTGTGCAGGTGTTTGTTGCAGGCGGTGCTCAGTTACTGCAGCTGCAGCAGGACTTGATTCCTCGATGCTCTAGTCTGCTGTGCTCATATCACCTGCTCAAACAGATGAGCCTGACGCTGTCCTCATCCGTTCCACTTGACATACTGTGAGTCCACATGCCACATGGCCCAATCCACAAAAAAAATCCACATTTATATGTAAGCTATGATTCTTAATGCAAATGTGTGTGTACCGTAGGGCTGTGATGGTGGCAAAGTTCTTGAACATAGACAGCAATAGAAGTTTCAGTACTATGTCAAGTTTAATTATATTCCTCACAAAGATAAACGTTTTATCATATGTCCCACTGTTTCATGTTTTCTCCCAATAATCCAAAGCAATTGACATAAATAAAGCTTAATTATTTCTTAGGCATGAGCAAGACATTTGTGACCAAAATGAATCATAATGAGCAAATTTTCAGCCAAAAATGAGCAAAGATATGAATGAGAGAATTCACATTCTCCATTAAAAGACCTTCAAAATGATGTATGATTTGTTAGAATCTGATGTATGATTTGTTAGAATGAGTGAGCTACACCCGTTTGAAGTCGATAGTCAGCAAAGTCAGTTCTTAGAAGAATAGAGTAAAAAGTTTTCTGAAGGTTCCAAAGCAAAAATCACCTAGCAACATTGCATCATTTCCTCCACTTCCTTTCTTACCTCTTCCCCCGCCATTGATGAGTTATCTCGTCTTTTACAAGAAAACGTTTCCCTGCCAAAGACGAGTTTTTACAGCTTTCCGTGTTTTCACTGTTATACACTCGGGGGCGCTATTACGCATCTTCTGAACGAGTACAAAACCTCCCGAACAAAAACACACGTGAACAGGACGGAGAAACGAGCGATCTCTTATGTAAACAGATGCATATGAAAAATAATGTGATCATCAGCAATAGTCCGCATATAAATTAAAACTGCATAATGTTACAGAGTAAAATGTTGATCCAGGAAGTGGTATATGTCTGTGCAAGCTTTGGAGGTGTTGATGGAAGCGATTTACTGGATTTATGCTTTGATAATCGTACTGAATATTATCCAGATGTAGTTTTTGATAAAAATGTGATATTCTCACCTTTTTGCTTAAAATTATAATTTTTTTATGAAACCTACCTATATTCAAGTGTTGATAAAAAAAGAATGCTTTAAGCTAGAATAAAACGGATTTTTTTGTTTAAATGTAGAGGCTCTGATCTTTATTTTGGTGTATTGCATATTCAAATATCCATACATAAAAATATACTGGAGGCCATCAAATTTGAGTGAAAATCATCAAAATCGCTGAAAAAAAAAAGAATAGATATGTGGAAAAATTATTATTTTCAACCCTCATTCTGAACTTCTCTCAGAATTTAAGGCTTCTCGGGAATCAGCCAGTTATGATTGGCTAACATCATTGCATAGGAAATAGTATCAATGCCCCCTCGCTATTACATGTTTTGAGTGATTTGACAACAGTCAAAATAAAATGGTCATTTCCAGACAAAGCATTATGAAATCATTTACTTACGGTTTGTGATGCAGCTGGATTCGGATCTAGTGCTGCTTCATCTTTCAACAAATGATTCTTTGTGACTCTCCATGACACTGTGCCTCGATTACAAAACAAAATCCTCCGACACGATCCGAGATGCTAAGTAAGAAAAACAAATAATCAAATGTAAAAATCACTTCAGTGTGCATTACGAATACATTTATTATTAAAACTACAAAAGCAGTTCAATCAAGAGCAGCGATACTTTCTTTTATTGTTAGATTAACGTTGAGACAGACGCCATATATAGTAATTCCTACTGTACTGCACGGATCTAATATAATGTCACCAGGGTTTGAAATTAACACCTGCCAAATGCGGGTAAAAATCAGCTGTGGCGGTTAACGCTGTCAAATTACTAGCCAATTTGGCGGGTTACTTTTCGTAAGTTATGTTCACTCATTAATTTCTTGGGGAAGTTCATGCAAGCCAAATCCGCGCAGGTTTAGCGCAAATACTGAACTCGTGAGACATTACATTATCGAGTAGGCCTATATTGCAAACACCAAACAAAACACACCTATAGAGTGCACGCATAAGCGACAACACTAACTTAGTACGCGTACGCATTTAGAGTGTGTTCTTTCACTGCATGATTCAGTCTATTAATATGCATTAAGAATGATCACATAATTCAAGATAAGGAGGCAGAAAATGTATATATTT